TTCTACTGTAATAATAAATATTTATCATTGTAAACGTATTTGCTCTATATTTCCCAATCGCATGAAATAAAGCAATATAAATTCGTGTGATAACATAAATAATAGATATCTAATTAACACGATGAAAAACATTCATGACAATTTAATAAATTAATGAAAATTATCAAATCAACTCTTCCATAATGAGCATTTTCAAAGGTCATTACTAGATTATTAATGTGATTTAATACTCACGATAATTATTTTGCATAATTTTTTAAATTATAGAATAAAAATAACATGGGAAAAATTCAATTAACACACACGATAATAGCTTTGGGCTCAGATTTCATTTGTAAACGAGTGAGTGTTTCAATCCGCCCTTGATCGATTCTATTGTAAATGGTAACAGATTATTTTTATAAAAAATTCTGTATTTGATCTTGGGGCGATTTTATCAATGCCCGATAATTAAATTGTCACGACAGTTGAAATCCATTTTTGATGTAAACTGAAACTCGGACAACTACTAATGCAAACAACAAATATCAAATAAACACCTAGCTAAGTAAGATAAATCGTTTTCTGAAGTTGTTAAATAACGATAAACATCTATAATTATTAAAAAAAAAAACATACTTGGCCTATATTTTCTTTTAAAATGATTAAACACGAAAAAAAAAATGTCTAGTTATTTATTCACTGTGTAAAGGTGAACAAATAGCTTGTTAATAATTAGTTTTTCGAATTCACGCATTCAGATTTCAAAAAACATTCATTTTATTTATATTATTACGTGTACAAAAGGCCATTAGCTGATCTTTGTGTAAACAATACATAATCCAACTTAGATTTAATGCGCTGCTGTTTGCCGTACCCTAAATAATAACAGCTATAACAAGCTGTAGTGTTTGACAATCACTTTGGATGTCTACATACCATTACAAACTTATAGTGTTTATTTGTATGTTCTCACTTTGGATACAATACACATTGTATGGAATTCTTAGCTAACATAGTAAACTAAAATGTTGATCTACTTAACGCCCCGGTGCTTATAGTTATCTCGAGTCGTGCCTCTTTTGTTTTAATGGCTTATTTATTTAAGTAATATATAACACTCCTATGATTCATCGAACGATCAATAAATAGTACTATTAAAGTACATTGCTTCTGATCTGTTCAAAAAAAGTATTTGTACGGCTTAATAAACTACTGTTGAATATGTTGACAATCGAATAACAACATTTAATTGGGTTTTGACATTAAAAATTTACAAAATAAATTGAATTGAATTATTTTTAAGACTTAACAATAAATTTAATAGCACTTGAGTTGAATTCTGGTAAGTGAAAATGTTAACTAGTAATGTAGATACTATCAAATAGATAATCTTAAATTGTACTGTTGACACATAACATTTTGAACATAAATTCAACAAACGTGTTGTAAAATGTTTACTTTTTTTACAATATTAAAATACCAAGAAAAATTATTTCGATTTTTCAAGTACATTCATAAAAACACTTATTTTGCAAAAAACTGTTGAATAATATATTGGGGAGGCTAAATTATTTATCAAATGTTTGGACAGCTTACATTTTTGTAAACTTAGTTTAGGTTATTGAACGTGTAACGTTCAAGTATTTAAATCGAACAATATATCAATACTCTGTTTAGTGTACATAAACTTAAAATTTTCTTATAATTATAAACTTCACAGTATTTTTTTTTTTTATTATACTGGTTATTTTTTTTATTTGACATAAAAATAAGAAGAATCATCATATTTGTCATTCGCTACAATGTATTATTGTAAATATCATGTAAATTATACTAGTTTTATCAAAAAGAAAATATAACAAATATTAAATACTATTTAACAATAAATGGCAAATGTAGTTCACGTCTTACCAAAAGTGAAAATTCTTTTGCAACCGCATCTGTACTGTCCGTCGTAATATTAGTAGACATCAGCTGTCAGACACGATTTATAAAAAAAAATATTACTACTAGAATTAAAGATAACGTACGATTATTTAACTTTAAACATGTCTAACACAATACTAACATTAAATAATTTTAAACTATTAGCAGGGAATCACGTAAGAAAATAAAATATTTAAAGAAAACCAATTTAAATGAATAGATTAATGTAAGGGAAGATTATTTTCAAATAAAAAATCATTATGTAGATAAATAGTTGATTGCTTCATTGTATTAGCCTACATAAACCTAATATACATTTCCATAAAATATTTTAAAACAATCACGGCAATTAATGACATTAATATTTATAAAAATATAGATATTAGAATCCTATATAAATATACAGTGTTCAGTAAGTAAGGAAAATTGTTATAAACAACGAGAACAATAGATACACGCTTCCTTACTTACTGAAAACTGTATATATATATATATAGTACACTAGAGATGTGTTCGGGCAGTAAGTGTATGTATGAATCGAATATAGAGTAAAAGCCGGATAAAAAACTAAGGCTTAAAACCGAGTAAAGAAATGATTATAATCTGGAAAATGGGTAAAAGCCGAAATCTAAACAGAAGTCCAGGTACCTAAAGTTTACTCGAAATAGGAGTACCCGAAACATCTTTGATATACAGGGTGGCCCACCACTCACTGACAACTTAAATAACTTTTGATCCAGTTAATATTTTTAGCTGATTTTTTTTTTAAATAATAGTTATACGTTAGGTCCATAGCTATATCTCAATAATTAATTTTTTTACATTTTATTAAAAATATTAATTATTTTTAAATTTTAAATAAAATGTAAAAAAAAAATCTAAGATAGCTATTTTGTAGAGTAGAATTTAAGAAAAATTTTAGTAAAAAAATATCTTATTAATATTCAATAGTAAATATTCTGTAGCGTTTTGAAGTTTGTGAAAATTTGAATTTTCATGTATTATTTTACGGTATTAAACATTGAAATACGTATTGAGAAAAGGACAGAAGAAAACGCTATCTTTTCATGATTACTGTGTATACATATGATGATAATGTGTATACATTACAAACTTGGCATTAATACCATGATAAGAAATTAGATAAGGCAATTATTACTTATCACTCTCATTCAAAAGTATATTGAAAAGATAGCGTTTTCTTCTGTCCTTTTCTCAATACGTATTTCAATGTTTAATACCGTAAAATAGTACATGAAAATTCAAATTTTCACAAACTTCAAAACGCTACAGAATATTTACTACTGAATATTAATAAGATATTTTTTTACTAAAATTTTTCTTAAATTCTACTCTACAAAATAGCTATCTTAGATTTTTTTTTTACATTTTATTTAAAATTTAAAAATAATTAATATTTTTAATAAAATGTAAAAAAACTAATTATTGAGATATAGCTATGGACCTAACGTATAACTATTATTTAAAAAAAAAATCAGCTAAAAATATTAACTGGATCAAAAGTTATTTAAGTTGTCAGTGAGTGGTGGGCCACCCTGCATACATATTACGACAAAAAAATAAATAATCGTAATTTAGAAAACATTTTTGACTTAAAAAAAAAAATAAAGTGACAAGTAAATACTTGTATTACTAAAAACAAAAAGAAAATAACTCATTTTTAAAGTAGATATACTTTTATATAATTTCCGCTTTCTTTTATTATGAGTTCAACCAAAGGTTATTTTTGAGAGCTCTTAAATATCTAATTGATATTTTATCATAAATAATGCGCAAATCGGATAAAGTTCAATTTGATAATTTGCGAGTATTAATTCAGAAAGATATTCATAAGATTTCTAAATGTGCCGTTTTCTAATTTATTAAAACACTTTAGTGATTATATTATATGTTTTGTTATAATCAAACTTTTGTTATTTTCTTGTTAATAGAATAATATTCTTGTGCATGTTAAGAGAGAAGTATAAAATCGTGTTTTAAATAGAAATCAACAGATTTGCTAACCGCACTATTCATTTCATTCATAAATGAACACATTTACTAATAAATTTATAATTTGGCTTATTGAAAGATCGTGAAACGTTAATTTAAGTAAATCGTAAAACAACAGCCATAATAACAAGACCACAAAAGAGCCCTGGGGATGGTCTTCTAGTACGTCACAACAAAGTCAAAGTGCATAGGTATTGTTGCTAACCGGCTTTTGACACGCATATAAATTATAAACAATTATGCATTAGCAAATGAGATATAGGGCATGGTCAAATGAATTTTAAACCGGTACTGAAAGTATTATTCAATAATTTGATGATTATATACTCCTCGCGAACTACCGAAAACGTGGTTTGTTGTATTTGTGCCTTCGAAACATAAAGCTTTTATTAAATGTTATTGTGTTACGAAATATAATATGCCACTAAAAGCTTCTGTTGTAGATTTTTTTTAAAAGCTATTCCTTAAATAAATAAATTATTTGAGAAAGTTTTTTGAAATTAGTTTAATAAAACTCAAAACTAAATGAATAAGTTTTAATTTAGATGCGATCTTAAAATATTTTTTGGAAAACAATAATTTTTTTATAAGTTTTAAATTGATAAACGCAACAATAACTCTGCTGTTTAAAATAAAAATTCTGGATTATTACAAACAATGATTAATGATGATAAAAATTTAAGACCCAACTCCACTACAAGTAATCATTTATGTTCTGTACTATTTATCGATAATAATTTAATAATTAAATTTTTATCAAATTTACATATTATGTAATCTATAATGCATACAGATTTTCAGACGTGCGAATTGATATTTACACATTTAAAAACTTTAATTATAATTCATAGAGAAGAGCAATCAATATTTTAAAATTTGATAATAATTAAATTATTCATGTTTATGAAGTTAAAATACATAATCAATTATTATTTTTTATTAGTGTACTCATAAGTTAGACAGAAATAAATAACAATATATATCAATTTTTTTTATTTTCAAAGAATAATTATTTAGTTATTAAAATTACTTTTTTTTTTAATTTTAATTTTAAATTATGTAATATTTTTTATTACGATTTATACTTTTACTATTTCAAATTATTCAGCTGAATAATTAAAGGCTAATTGTAATATAATTATGCTTTTTAATGGAGGTAAGGTTAATTTTGACCTTTAAGTCGGTTAACACTGAATATTAATAAAGAAAATAATCAAATGTTTTTTATGTTATCTAAGAATTATCGGAATTCATGAATATTATATTCGCTCACTTAATGATAATTATGTTAAATAAATTTATTTTTAAAAACAATATTTCTATGTAAGTTCATGTCCAAAATTCTGTAATAATTAAATATGAAATATTTTACTAAGATAATAATAGTCTCTTTAAGTTTTTTTTTGTAAAAAAAATATTTAATCTGACAATAATCATTACAAAATACTTAGCTCAATGCATCCCACGCAATTTCTTTATATGTCAAAATCGTTTATCAGTCATTCACATATAATTGCAATCACATTAATAAATAATGTAAGCTACCTCATTACATAATACTATCGGTTGTAATTTGCCTTTATGTTTTGTAACGTATCTATATATATGTGTGTGTGTGTGTGTGTGTTTAAAATATCATTATCTTCATTCTGATAAAATCATTATGCACGTAGAAATTACTTACGAAGCGCCGAAAAATTGTCTATGATGTGGAGACCATTAAGTTATTATTTAATAATCTTAAATTGGTATCTTATTTTCAACAAATGAAAATTGTACTTTTTTCATAATATGTACTAAAATTTGTCATAACAAATGAATTTAATAATTGCAACAAATAAAACCACACTATTTTTGTATTATTGTGTCAACAAGACGCTCTAATCTCTAAAAAAAAAGTGGTAATTAGTGAAAAAAACTTAATATTCGATGTAATTGCCTGTTGTGTAAAGCTATCTGTGTTGTAGGCACTTTGATTAAAACATAAAATCATGTCTATGCACGTTGTTCAGTGATCTGTAAAAAATGCAAAAGAATAACTTATCGAGGAAACTACTACTTGTGAAGAAACGTTGGCTTATCTATAAAAATATGCACGTTAAAGCCGAGGGGCGATCGATCGTGAGAACACGTTCTTAAGCGTAAAAGGAAACGTTTTTTAGTAAATATATTTTCTGATAGAGAATATTACCTCCTAAACTTGCTACAATCTTTAAATCACGTTGAAAATATGTTTGACCCGATATTGTTTTTGGAATAATACAAATTGCCACTAAAATAATACGTGTACTTCACTAGTAACAAAAAAATAATAATAATACATATTAGGATTAGAGGGGAGTGCCAAATAATTAAATAGGATAAAAACTACGATAGAACAAATGGGTTTAAGATTAAAAGAATGTAAGAATAGAAATATATCACATATAAGACACATGGCGAAATGGTATACACTTACTAGAGCGGAAAAATAAGGATGGCTGCTTCCATAGATGGTATAAAAACAATGAATGAAAGATAAAAAACAGTTTGATTAAATTTTAAATTAAAACACGATGTCTTTTAAATTATTTACTTTCAGCGCATATTCTTTCTTATTACAATTATCGGTTAGACGCACATTGAGTACTTTCTTGATTAGTGATTATAAATATAAGCATCGGTATAAAATAATGACTGAATGTTAATTAACTTTCATATAATTAACATATTTATAGTTTACTTTTATTATATAAGCGAACACAACATAATACTCTTTTTAAATACATAGCTTTAGTATAAAAAATAATATACTTGTATGCGATTAATAGATAAATATTTTATTATGGAATCAACTTAAAAATTTACTATATTATAAATTCAACATCATATATTAGCGATTTTTGACATAAATAAAATTCTACATATATTTTCCAAAACTTTACTTAAAATTTGCGTACATAAACAATTTATGTACAATGAGAATTTAAGTGAAATATTCGATATATCGCTTAATAGATCATTCTCAATAGACAGTAATAGATCATTTTTCAATATTAACGCTTGAAGGCATAATTTTTGGCATATATTATATAATATAGTTGGGAACTACATCATTGTAAAGGGTGTGAATTGAATACTCGATTAGACAACCGAATATTTTATCATTCTCATCAAGGAAAAAATTGTAAGAAAAATGTTCTTATATTGTAAGAATGAAGGTAGAAAATAAAAAATTTTCCAATATAACCGATCAATGTTAATTAACTTATTAAATATTTTAACAATTATTAAAAGTATAATCCTAAATCATCGAATAGATATAACTTTATAAATACGAAAAATAATTTAGCTCTATTGAATGGATAAAATCGTTATTTAAGATAAAAGTATTTTAGAACTAACATTTTTTAGAGTCCTCGAAAAAAATCTAAACCAAATCATCTATGTAAATTATGTGCCTTTATAAAATAGATAATATTATCCTTTTTTTCTATAAAAATTTAAAAAGTACCGTCATGTTAAGGGGAAATTTTGTTACAAAGCTTTACTCGTCGAAATGCTTCAAAATATTATTTTTTTTTCATTCGAAAATTGTTCTCAGAATGTACAATCCAAAGTAAATGTAAATGTATGTTTTTGCCAAGACATAAATTGACACCTACTAAATTTTGATGTACACTAGTTCCACGAAAATCAATTAACAAATTCTAAACTCGATATGTAAATCAATCAGAATTGTAGGTGTGACTGATTCGAGATAAATGAGTGTGGGTATGGCAGACGCCGAAATTTAAAGGGACGCGAATTCGTTTGCATGATGAAATTTAGTTTAATATTCCAAGTGGCCTTCAGAATGAAAATAATAACAAGTGTAGAGTTAATAGCAGAAATTATTGATACTCAGTGTAGGTAGTAATTTTCACGCTACAAACTAGTACGGCGGTGGTCAGCACATATGATCTGTGCGTGCAATTGTACGTATCGACGTTTGATTGCTTCACATGCTGAATAAGGACCGCAGAATTTATTATAATGAGTGCATAGTACGGTTTTAAAATCATAAAAATTACATTTTTTTTTTTTTTTTAATGTCACGTACAAATTGTGACAACATTATCTTACGTTCAAATAGTAAATTAGTGCGATTGACTATAATAAGTAAGAGGTTACAAATTTTCAAATAGTATCGAAAGTATCACAAACCAAGGCAAACCTTTTTAAAATGCATAAGAAATAAAATTACACGAGTTAGCCACGTGCAGTCATATTCGAAAATTGAAATATTTCAGGTGTTATTAAACTATTCCGTATAAGTATGCAATTCAAATCAACGACAATTGTTTTCGATTTGAAATAATTTATTCGATCAGTTCGTTCCTCATTACCATTTTGATGACATTGCTTTAATCAAATTATTTTTAATGCAGTTTGAACTCTCATTTCAATTACAATAATAATTAACATTTGATTAATTAGTTTTCAAACAACCATTTAATAGTATAGTTATTGAAGTGAGAGGTTTTTTGTAGTCGCTCTACAATGATTACAAAATTAAGATAAAATATGCAGACTTCGAGATTAGTTTCTCTGGTGTTCGTGATGTTAATATATGATAACACCATAACAATAATAATAGAGACAATAATGAAACGATTTTCCGGACAAAATTCCTTAGGTATTTCGTGAATGTTAACATTGAAAACACTAACGACACGGTAACTGAATAATCATATTATCCACGTTGGCGCTACAAGCGATTTACTTGGCTAATACACAACATATTAACTAGATAAGCTAACCATTATATCCACACGTTATGGTTTAACTATAAAACTTATAGTAAATCGTTATAGTATATTTTTTAGCACTTCATTCTCTCAATAAAATCAATCAAAAAATTATACGAAAAACGATGCTTAGTCTATTTAGTAACAATATAATTACAAATACGATTAAAACAAGGTTTTTTCTGATCGATAATTATTGGATTACCATTACATTTACGTTTTTTTTTTTTTGTTATCTTATAATTAGCCAACAGTTATTAAGTCATTAATAAAGTAGACGTTTTTATCGTTCAATCGTGAACTCCGAGCCCGAAAATCCGGCCCTGTGTTTACCTAATAACAAAAACTTATTTTTTTGGCAGTATAAAAAAAAATGTTATTTTATAAAATCTTTATATACCAAAAATATGTATTTTTCATACTAGAAACGTTTAATATTACACATTTTGTTACTACAAACCGTTGATATTTTCATAGAAAACATAATAAACATTTACTTAAAGTTATGTCAGTAATGCATAAAATTAGATGGATATTAACAATTACATTTTGTAAATGTTGCATATGCTTTCATGATTGTGTCATTCTTTTTTTACATATGTATCAGTAAGTTTTGGTTGTTTCAAGTGAGTGCATAATATATGCACGTCATGTCTGGTTATAATTTTGTTTTTTCTTGTACCGGACGTTCTGGTTTTGTATTTGTAACCACGTATCAACGCCAAACACGAATCAGTAATTGGTCATAACTTTCACCCTGGTTGTAAGTATATAATAATTATAAAATACTAAAAAATATTCTATTTATAACTTTTTTTTTTTACAATTGTGGTACTATCGCTTTGAATTTGAAAATATTTCATGTTCTGAATCATATAATATTATTAAATATCAAGTGATAAAACAATATTTACTAGAAAAAGAAATCTTTTAATAAAATGACATAAATATTTTCAACTTGACAAATTGTCATAAATTGAAAAATTATTCAAGCAAATTAAGTTATGAATTTACACAACTCATATAACATTATAATGATTCCGAGCATCATATTAAATAATTATTTTAGTGCAGTTTGATCCAAAATGGCAGATAAAAAATAAAATAAAATAAAATTTTAATATCTCATTTCACTCTTACATAATATATATATTTATAATTCGAAACAATCATTTTCTCTATTAATAATTAATTACATAGATATTTATTTGTAAGTATCATATACACTTTCATTGATTCCATTGTTATTTAATAATGTCAATATTATAGTAATCATTAATGAAATACAATTATTACAAAATCATAACGGGGTTGCTTAGCCATATTAAAAAATAATTCAAACAATTTATGTGATATTCGTAATTATATTAATGGATATAACATAATCTATTTACGTGATCTAAAATACCAAAAAGCTAGTTACTACAAAAGAATGCGTTTTAGAGCGCATCCGCACTTATATTGCCTATCTTTTCAGCCGTCCAATCGACCTTAACTAAATTTATTGAACAATGTTTTCAGACAAAGTGGATTCATTACTCTAAATTTCGATATCGGACTATAAAAGGTAAAGAGAGTTGTAAACAATTTAATTGTTTTTTTTTTTATTATTTTACTACGAAGATCTTAAATGATCAATTTTAAATTGTTTGAAGTATTACAAATTAAACTAAATATGTTAAAATTCCATTTTACTATTATTTATATAATTTATTCGCATGAACTAGATCAATAAGAAATTAATTTTTCGCGATTAATTAATAGAATTTAAATATATCCGGGTGCATATGGTTGAAAATCATAAGGTTAAACTTTTTCCCGTTGTTCACGATCATTATTAAAGAGCAAGGACATTGCGCGTAATTATTTTTGAAAGAACTAGTGAAACTAAAATACGCAATAAATATAGCAAATGCACCCGGTTAAGTATATCTTTACAATGTGGAATTTTTTAGTGTTCTGGTTTACCGGGAAACGCCCATCGTTTGGGCGTTTATCTAGTCCACAAATCATTCGATAACATTATTTTGTTATATTTTTTTAACATACTTGAATGAGTAATTTACTTAGCCCTATATAAACAAGTTCCATTATTTTAACAATATATTTCATATTACATTAGCTTTATTTTGGTTAAAAATGTGAATAATTTTCATGAAAATATTAGCCTTTTAATATTTTTTCAGCTGGTAGAGACTTAACCTACTGATTCTCTAACATTTTTTATTGATAGAATTTCTAAGGTATTTATTTTAAGCAAAGGTTTTGATTTAAATCAAAGAAGAAAGTCTCACAAGGTTCGATAGCTATCTTTTAACATCGTTGCTCATACGTCATTAACAGACGCCTACATTTGATCGATAGTCAACACCTTTTTATGCAGCTGTCTGCAAAAATATTACGGTTGTTTTGTTATTATTATGCAATGAAAGTATTAAGGACAAATGCACGAATTGGAGTATCAAGACAAAAAATCAATATTACAATGATAACTTGCTGACAATAGCCAATGCCCACAGCAAACGCCACTTAAACTTCCGCTCTTTTTCTGTAAAGATAATAATCAATAACAAGATTCTTTATGATGTTATTATGCCGAAAGTTTTATTTAAAAATAACGTGGACACAACAAACGATAGTTCGTAATAGCGTGTAGAATGTTTTCTTTTTCAGTTATAAATATATTTTAAACATGTACGTGCACAACTTAAAGGAATTAAATTATTAAATATAACTTCACTAAAATTATTCAACTTAAATAAATTTATGTATAAGAAGAGATCTTGTGTTAACAAATTGTAGTGTTTATGAATGTAATATTGCATAACATTTTTAAAGATTAAATTTTAGG